GAAAATTATTTTTTTGCTTTGACATTTTTTTTTTCGCGTGCTGCTAGTTCAATAGATATGTCTTCCCAAGACATTTCTCCGTAAGTTTGTAACATTTTCTGTAATTTTCTATTTTTAACTTGGGCTTGATAACCCTTAATAAGTTGCTGTCTTAGTTGTTCTTTTTCTTTTTGACGTCTTTTTTCTACTCCGATTAATTCCTTTTCAACTGCCTGATTAACAAAAAAACTAATCTTCCCATTCCCAACCACTTTTTTTAGTTCTTGGTAAGTATTTTCTTTGATAGCAATGCTTAAAGTTCTTGTCATAATAATTGTTAATTGTTGTTATAATAATTATTTTAATGTTGTCTAGTATATTAACTAATTCTGCTTTAACATTTCAGAATCTCTAAAAAAGAAACTAGCGAAGATATTTTTCCTTTTAAATTGAGTTTTTCAGCAGGTCTTATAAGCCGAAGTTCATAACTCACTTCAAAGGCTTGCTTGAATAATGCCGGCAATTTCTAATTCACTTTGGGCTTCTTGAAGTGCTTTTTGGAGAAAATTGCGAGCGGTTATTAAAGGTTCAATATCTAATTTACCATTCAGAATATATTTAGACATAATATACTATTTTTTTCCTTTCTTCTTTTTACTTTTTCTAATTTCGTATCTGTTAATCTCTAGAAATGGTCCTAGAATAATAATAATTATAAGTAATAAAATAAATAAAGTAAAAACTGCTTTGAGAATATCTTTTGATTTAGGATATATATACATATATATAAATTAACTTCTAAATGCTTTTTCTACAAACTTTTTAAAATAATTATCTTTCTAGTAATGTTTTGTTTATGATGCTACTTTATTTGTTAACAGAATATAATAAAATTATATAATGAAGTCAATAATAAACGTGGAAACAATTGAAGCAGAAAAAGAACATCTTTCGACTATTATATTTTTACATGGTTTAGACCAAAACTTTCCATGGAAAAAATTTTTTGACACTTATATAAAAAAACATTTTTCTCATACTAAATTTGTTTTTCCACAAGGTTCATTAAAATCAATTGAGGTTGAGGGTTTAGAAGTTTCCTCTACAACAAATGCTTGATACAGCATGAGCGGAGATTTAAATAAAATCCAGAGAGAAATCCTGCTTGAAGAGATAGATAAATGAATCAAGATCAATAAGGATGAATTGTTAAGATCAAGGACTGAAATTAGCGAAATTATTAGGAAAGAAATTAATTTGGGTATTCTTCCACAAAACATCATTGTTGTCGGAATTTCTCAAGGAGCATCAGTAGCTTTAGCAATTTGACTAGTTTTTGAATACACTTTGGGCGGAATTATTTGCATGAGTGGTTTTCCTCCTTTTAGCCAAAAAGAATTACTAAATCAAAAAAACAAAAAAGATATAAAAACTCCCGTCCTCGTTTACCATGGAGAAAAAGATATTATTGTCCCTTATTGAATTGTCAAAAAGACTGCTAAAATCTTGGGAATTAAACCTAAAAACTATCCATATGGACACGAACTAGGCGAAGAGGCATTCAAAGAGGCTATTAATTTTTCCAAGAAAGCATTTTCAGAAAGAGAAATAGATTTTGATGATAAGGAAATATGAACTGACACGAAATCTCAAGAAGATAACTTTTAGTCGCTTATCACTTTTTTTATTAAATGTTTTTTTAAAAAACTCGACATATTTCTTTCAACATATTCCAATTTTCATGTGATTTATTCATATCTCCTTTAGTGATATACAAAAATCTTCATTTTTCATTTTTTCTTGCCTCTTCTCCTAGTTCTAAGTTTAGAGCATTTACTCATTCTTTCGCCGCTTGGTTTTTTTCTTCTATTTCTGGGTTAGGGTTATTATCGTCCTTAATTTCTACTAGTCAGTGAATATCACTTTCATCTATCACTAAAAAGTCTGGAAAATAGTGTCTTTGTTTTTTGCTATAAAGAATATAAATTTCATCCCCTCATCGCAAAAGTCTAATTCATTTTTTAACTTCTTTGGCTTTGTCAATTAAGCAGGCAAATTGAAACTCAATGCCACTGTCAAAAGTGTCGTAATTATATAAACTTTTGGTGAATTGATAACCTCTGGTTATTTTTTTAAATTCTTCCTCCAAATTTTTGGCAACCATTTCACAACGAGGATGAAAATAACTGAAAGATTTTTCAATTACTTCTTGTTCGGACTGATTTTCCCCAACGTGTAGTTCTTTAAAAATATTCTGAATTAACCTTGCTAATTGTTCTCCGGCTGCTTCTCAATACTGAGATACTATTTCTAAATTACTCGCTTGTAAAAATTTGCCTACTAAACGATTTGCTGAATCAATTTCTACCGAATTAGCCAAATTAATAAAAGAGCATTTTCGGAAAATGATTTGGATTAGTTTTCTTCTGATTTTCTCTTCCTCGGGAAGTTGTTGGGTCGCTTCAATAGTAAATTCTTCATCCGTGACAGTTTTTCAACTAATTTTTTCGTTAGGGTCTATCTCAATTTTATAACGCTGTAATAAGTTTTTTATCTCTTTTTGGGAAGAAAAATTTTCTCCTAATTCTTTGAATCTTTTACCTAACCCTTTAATTTCGATTATCTTCAAAGAAAAATTTTGTGGTCGGATTTTTTGCCTTAGGATTTTAATAGTAAATTTCTCTTTTATTCTATTTGGTGGAACTACTTCTTGGCTTTGCTGTAAAATATCTTTTTCTCGTTCATCTAAGTTTTGAGGATTGAGAATATTTTGGCTAGAATTATTTTTTACCTTGTCTTGTGGTGATTGAGAAATAGAATTTTCAGATTGTCTTTCCGCTGTTCTGCTGCTATCTATTTGTTCATTCTCGTTAAGTCCAAAAAACTTATTTTTTAAAGATTTACGAACGTCTAACAACTCCTTAAAGTTATCATGTATTATAATTTCCAAAGTATTTAAGGCTTCTTTGGGGGTATATTCACCAAAAGGTAAACGTAAACCACGACCGATAATTTGTTCGATAAAAGTAACTGATTTAAAAGCCCTTAAAGGAACAATAACGTAAACATTTTTGACATCTCAACCCTCTTTTAACATGCCAACAGCGATAATAATTCGTGTAGGATTATGAGGATTATCAATGTTCTGTAATTCTTGGGCTAAATTATCGGTAATTTTACTGCTATCAACTTGTAAAATATTTTCTGGAGGGAATTCACAATTAACAATTAAACTGGTTCTAATACTTTCGGCTTCTTCAATACTGGGAGCAATTACCAACATTAGAACTTTTTGGAGTTTTAAATTGTTTTGTTGGGTGTAGTTATCTAAAAGTTTTTGTTTAGCATCTAATAATTTTATAGCGTCTTTTAATTTAGTTTCTTCATCCTGATAGCCGTCATAGCGACCAACCATAACTGGAATTTTGATTAATTTATCTCGCAAGGCTTTTCATAAAGGATATTCAAAAATAATTTCTTTGGTTGGCGTTTTTTCGTGCGGAGTTCCAGTTAGTCCAATTAAAATTTTTGGTTTTAGTTCTCGAATGGCTTCGGAAAACTTTTCCCCATAGTATAAATGATGTTCGTCAGCAAAAATAACTAAATCATCTAATTTACTTAAGTGTTCCCGTAAAGATTTGCCTAATACTTCGTCATAATTGCTAGTTTTGCGAGCAGTTTTACCTTTGGCTTGGGTTAAAGATTGAACGGTAAAAATAAATAATTTGACTGAGTTTTTATCAGTGGTTTTGGTAGTGTGAAAATTTTTGATATCAATAATGTGGGGTGGTTTAATGGTTAACTTATCCGCCAAAGAACTAGGTTTGTTGAGGGAAAAATTATTAATGGTCTTTTCTCTAATGATTTTGCCAGGAGCCACTATTAAAAAATTAGTTATCTTTTCAGTTTCGACTAAATAGTTTAAAATAGCCGCCATGATATAAGTTTTTCCTACTCCGGTTGCTACGGAGAGAATACATTCAGATAACTTTTCTGAATTTTGACTCTTGGTTTGGTAATAGTGATTTAAAAGAGCTTGAAAGGCTTGCTGGTTGGGTTCGCGGAGTTCTAGTTTTTTAGCAATGTTGTAGAGGATAACTTGTTTAAGCATTATTATTTTTCCGTAGTAGCCTCAATAATTATTTTAATTAATCTATCTCTTTCTCTTATAATATCCTCTCCTTCCTTGGTGTCGAAAACTTTTTCTCAGTTTTCTCATAATACCTCGGTTATAATTTTTTTATTAATTTTGCCATTTTTACTTTTGGTATTTCAAAATTTTTTAACATTAAGAATTGCTTCTTTTCGTCTTCTTTTATCGCTAATATCATGCTCTTCTGATGGTACTCCTTTTTCGCACAGTTGGTTTCTCAAATTTAAAATTTCTTCTTCTCGTCTGTTAACTCCTTCACAATGCTTTCCTCTAATTTCTCTTTCTTGCTTGTAAAGGGAATTTCATTTTTCCGCATTTTCTTCTACTGCTTTCTTTTCTGAGTCCTTTCTTGCTATTATTTCCTTTTCAAGTCTTTTTTCTAACTTTCTGGTTTCTTTCTTACTCTTGTAAAAGAGCCATATTGGAATGCAACCTACCGCTAACGTTATAATCCAACTTATTATTTTGAAAGTTATGATTTCATTTCTTGTAAATAAATTTTCCATTTTAAATTTTTTTAAAATTTTTAAATCCTAGCATAATGCCTTAAAATATTAATTGGTATTTTACCAATTTTAACATTATTATAATTTTTGTTTTCTAAGTCGGGGTCAACACTCAACGCTGCAATTTCCAAAAACTTATTTTCATCCATAGAATTAAGCAAAAAATTAACTAATCCTTCGGTTAGCATTCCATCTACTACGGCCAATAAAGTATCTCCTTTTTTGCCACAAAAATGCTCATTATCAGGCTGATAATCATATTCTAATTGAGTAGCAACTAATTTGGCTAATTTGCCATTTAAGGAATGTTCAGCAATACAAATTATTCCAGCGTGAACCTCGAACATCGATTTTTCAACTTGAAAATAAGTAAATCCACCGCCACCATTTCAATTAACTTCCTCACTAATCCCACCTTTATCCTCTCCATTAATAACTTTTTTTAATCGAGGAACAACAAAATTGTTAATTATGTCCTCATTTTTTTCCACAATAACTCACTTTCTCTTTAACTTTTGAGCCACGGCTGCCGTAGTCCCTGAACCAGCAAAATAGTCTAATACAATATCGCCCTCATTCGTGGCAATTTGGATAATTCTTTGTAATAATCTTTCAGGTTTAGGAGTTTGAAATGGCTCAGTTTCTGGGAATAATTTTTTAATCTCCTCCCGTGCTTCGGCATTATGGCCCACTTCCTCATATTTTCATAAAGTTTGGGGAATTAGATTTTTAACTTTTGATAGAAATTGTTTTTGTCTTGGTGCTCCTCCTTTGCTATCTTTTCCCCATCAAATTCGACCATCCTCAACTAACTCTTTAAAACGGGATTCTGACACACTTCAACATTTACCTTTTGGTGGATATATTTCTTTTCCAGAAGGGCTAGTAATGGGGTAAATATTTTTCAAGGATACTGTTTTTGCTATTATCGGAAGCGATTGTCAGGGTCCTCGTGGGTCGTTATCGGGGTTTGTATAGTTTTTGTCTGATTTTTCAGTTCTCGCTAAGCGATTAATTTTAAATTGCTCGCTATCCTTTGCGTAAACTAAAATATAATCTTGGTCGCAACTAAAAAATTTTGCATCGTTTCGCGGGGAATAAACCTTTTGTCAAACAATATTAGCCACAAAATTTTCTTTCCCAAAAATTTCATCCAAAACCAGTTTAAAATGATATAATTCGGTATCGTCTAAATGAACTCATAAAGAGCCATCATCACTTAATAATTCATAGGCTTTTAGCGCTCTATCTCGCATCATAGTTAACCAAACCGAATGCTCTAATTGGTCGTCATAATTAGCAAACATTTGCCCGGTATTAAAAGGAGGGTCAATATAAATTAACTTGACTTTATTCACATACTTTTTTCGGTATTCTGGAATTTTACTTAAACTAGTTAGAGCATGTAAACTATCACCACAAATTATTAAATTGTCAGCCGAATTTTCACCAAATTTTTCTCTTTCTTTAAATAATCTTACTTCGGAAACACGATAATCATTTGGTTCTACTCATTCATATTGACCTTTATCATAGTCTTTGACAATTAGAGTTTTATTTTTGTTAACTCAATTTAATTCTAATTTACCAGATAATTTATTATTCATTTATAAAAATATTTAATAATAGTAAAATGTATAAAAAGCAACTTAATGAGGAGTATGTAAGAGAGTTAATGAGTAAATTTGAAAATATTCTTCTTGCTAATTCAAAACGCACCTATTATCCTCCTACAGGAAGACAAGAATTTTGTTATAAACTTTTGGAAATAGACTATACTCGTTATGATAAAAACTTTGAACTTTCTTTCCTAGAAACTAGGTCTATTTTCAGGGAAATACTAAAAAGCAATAAGAATAATTTAGAAACTAGAGATTCATTTATTCTTTACATGAAATGGAAAGACTGCCTAGAAACTATTGTTGACAGTAATAACTACTTAGAGTGCCTGGATAAATTAAGGAATAATGCAGAAACCTTTTGGTCATTAAATGAATTAAGAAGATTTTGCACCAAAGAGGTATTTCTGAACTTTCTTTACATTGAAGCAATTATAGACATTAAGCAAATAAAGTATGAAACTCAATACATTGACATCGAGGAATTAAATAATTTTCGAAATATTGATAATTATTGGTTCCATAATCAGCATGAGGATGCTTATACTTCTTGTAGAGCATTATTTCTCTCCGTCGTAGTAAAACGCTTAAACAAAGAAATAATTGACCCAAAAAATGATGTGCCAGAATACATTAGAAAAATAACAGAAAAATATAAAATTGATGGACTAACAGAAAATTTGTTATCAGCACTTCAAGCAATCACTAATATAAGACATAGGTTTGGCAAAAAAGAGCCACCAAGAAGCAAAGAAGATGTGGTGTTTTTGAAAAATTTAGAAAATGCTCAGCAAATTGACAAAAAAGTTTGCACACGATTAGAAATAGATTTATTAAAAGCTCTCCACAACTTAACCATGGTTTTGGAAACAGAGAAGAATATTCTAGGTAAATAACTAACTTAATTTTTGCCGGTAAACACCACTCACAAAGCATTCCAAGCCTGATTTCAAATTTTATTGTCTACTGCTCCTAATTTAGTAATTAACCGTTCTTGCTTATCTATTGCTAATAAACGATGGAGTAGTATCTTGCTCTTTTCATCATCCAAGCCGTTTTCTCTGTTACTTTCAATTAATACCTCAAAAGGCTCAACGTTCTTTAATTTTTCTTCTTCACTAGTCAAGGGAGCAACCACCACATATTTGTTATATTGGTTCTGTCAATTATTACTTAGGATTAGAGCGGGGCGGATTTTTGAATGTTCTTTAACTTTTTTACGATTAAAGTCAACTAGTCAGAGTTCCCCTTGTTTAGGAGTTTTACTACTCATTATTATCTTCTATCCCTGCTTCTTCTCACATTTTATCTTCTTTATTAGGAGTTCTATTAGCATCTCTTTTATAACCCGTGATTAGTTTCTTTTGAAATTCTTTTTGTTCTCTTTCTAATTTATTATCATATTCACCTAATTCCTTAGCGACAGCCTTTTCCACAAATCCACTAATTTTGCGGCTGCCAATTTCTTCTTTTAGTCGTCGGTACAAATGAGGATTAATAGTAATACTTAAAGTTGTTCTCGCTCTTTGATTTACCATAATATATAATTTTATTACAATGGACCAATGCAAAAATAATTGTCTGCAGATAAAGTTATTTAGTTAAAATTGGTATTGAATCTTGAATAAAATAATCACTTAATCAAAATAATTTATCTGAATCTGTTGGTTTACTAATAAATATTCGTGGTACTCATTCTGTAATTTCTCAACTCTTTTTATATCCCTTAATCAAGCATAGTAAGTAGGATTATAAATAGCTAAATCTTGTTTATTAGCAGCGATAATATTTATTCAATCGGCACACTCCTCATACGTAAAACCACAAAATTTCCATTCCCGAACCAATTCAGGAGTGAAATTAGAGTTAATATTTGCTCAATCTCGTTCAGGCAAACTTATTATTCTCTTCGTTTTATTTTCTATAGTTTCAACTTCATCTTCATTAGAGGAAGAATCAGAAATATCTTCTTTGTTACCATCATATTTATCTCTTAGTTTGTCTAATCTTCCTTCTTTTCTTTCTACATCATCAACTGTATAACCCTGATTTTCAATATAAAGGGCAAAATCAGCATCCTCGGGTTCTAAACCAGCATCAATTCATTTTTGAACTTGCCAAATTTCAAAACCTTTACTTTCTCACTGAGTTTGTAATTCGTCAGTAAAGTTTTCATGAATATCTGTTCATTCAGTCATGCTTCATTAAATAATATAGTTTATAACTATAATTAAGTTTTAAACTTTTTTCTAAGCGCACCTTTTAGTTATACTCTAACTTTATTTTTTTCTGCCACAGAAAGCTCTTTTAGATATTTTGCACTATCTTTATATCTACAATGAGAAATGAGAAACTAATTTTTTATTTGAATTCTGATTTTTAATATTTTCACTGGTTTTGGTGCTATCGATTTCTCAAAAAATTAAATAAAGATGGAATTTCTCCAAGAACTAAACGAACAACAAAAACAAGCTGTCTATGAAGAACATCCGCGAATATGTGTTATTGCTGGACCGGGTTGTGGAAAAACTAAAACCTTAGTTAGCCGCTTTATTTACTTACTAGCCGGAAAAAAAATTTCTCCTCAAAGTATCTTAGTTTTAACTTTTGCTAAAAAAGCCATTAAAGAAATTAAAAAAAGGGTTTTTTCTTACGTTACCACAGTTTCTCCCAAAGATTTGCATATTTATAATTTCCACTCCTTTTGTTTCCGCGTTTTAAATAAACATTCTTATTTATTAGGTTTTCCCGAAAGCAAATTTCCTGTTTATGACCGTCATGAACAAGAAACTGTAGTCCGAAAGATAATTTACCAACTTAACTATAATGCTGATCAAAAAGAAATTAATACCATTATTGCTTACATTAGTGGTTGAAAAAATGGTAAACTTAGTGCTGACGATCTGTTAGAATTTGACGAATTAACCAAAAAAAGGTATGAAATCTACCAAAAATATCAAGAATATTTGCAAACCAACAAAGCCTTAGACTTTAATGATTTACTCCTTTATACAATCGCTCTTTTTAATCATTACCCCAAAGTTAGAGAAGAATATCAAAAACAGTTTAATCATATTCTATTAGATGAATTCCAAGATATTAACGCTATTCAGTGAGAAATAATTAAGTTAATTTTAAGTGATCAACAAAATGTTTTTCTAGTAGGAGATCCTAATCAAGCTATTTATGGTTTTCAAGGGGCTACTCCGGAACTGATTTCTTCTTTTAGCCAAGATAAAAACTGAAAAACTATTTACCTGAATACTAACTACCGCTCAACTAACAACATTATCAATCTAACTAATTCTTTTATCCAAAAAAATCAACCTAGTTTAGTTAATAATCTCTTAAATTCTTCAAAACAAGAAGGAATAAAAGTAAATTGGATCAATGGTCGGTCAATACGTTCAATTGTTAGCCAAATCCGTTGGTTGATCCTCCGCGAGAAAATTGAGTTTAACGATATTGCTATCCTTTATCGAAACAATTATCTTTCTGGACGAATAGAACAAGAATTGATTGCCCAAAAAATCCCTTACGAAATACTAGGATCTTTCAAATTTATTCAAAGGGAAGAAATCAAAGATGTTTTAGCACTCCTAAAAAGCATTATTTACCAAGACAATGTCTCCTTATTGAGAACACTGGGTCTTCAAGAAAAAATTGGAGCCCGCACTATTGAAAAAATTGAGCAAAACAGCGAAAAGGAAGGAATTAGCATCTATAATTACCTTAATAATTTTGCTACGATTACTAATTTAACTCAGGACAAGTTAGCCGCTGGGCAAGTCGAAAGAATTGGTCTAGTTATCCTCAAAATTAACAAATGAAAAGAAAAACTAGAAAAAGAAGGATCCTTAGATACTTTTCTTTTAGGAATTCTTAACGATTTTAACTACTGAGAGCACTTAAAAACCCGAATTAATGGTGCCGAAAGAGAAAAAAATGTCCAACAATTTATTAATATTGCTCAAAATTGAGAGAAAAAAAGAAGAAAAGAATATCCTAATTTAGGAGAATTACTTAACAACTTTTTACAATGAATCATTATCGCTTTTGAGGACAAGAAATTAATTAAAACCCGGAACAATTTGATCCTTTCTTCGGTTCATCAAGCCAAAGGTTTAGAATTTGAAGTAGTATTTTTTGTTTATCTAGATCAAGGAACCTTACCTTATAAAGAAACCCAAGACTTATTAGAAGAGAAACGCTTATTTTATGTAGGTATTACCCGTGCTAAAAGATTACTATACTTATTGAGTAGTAAAGATTTATATTCTCCTTTTTTGGATGAGTTAGAACATTCCTTTTTAAATAAGATTTAAGAAAAAGATAAAACTTTCTGCAAACTCTCTTTATCTTCTAATCTTCTTCCTAGATATTTTATAAACAATCAATACTAATAAAGTAATTATTCCTACGGTGCCAGCAATTGGTTTGATTGGTCAAGGCTTTTCGTTATTATTATTATTATTATGCAAATCTTGCCGAGTAAGATTAGAAAAATCTTGGGAATTACTGATTAACTCTTGATCAGAGAACTTACCTCACGAAATTTGTTTACTGCCTTCAAGTATCTCACCTTTCTGTTTTACCACTTCAACTGCAACTTCTTTTTTCAGAAACTTTTTAGGAATTAGAACACCTTTTTTTGCTCTGCCTCTTTCAGTCACTGTTTTGCCTAATCTATCCTCTCAATGAAAAGAAACAGAAATGCCAGTT